CATTCCCTCTCTCAAAGAATCACATGTTCACCTCAGGGGCATCTAAAATCCCATCAAGGGTAATATGATAGGTATGAATGCGCTGAAATGGACTCGCGATCTGTGATGTCAAATGTTTGATATGACATACAATATGATATGTGAAATATACGAAGCATATTTCATCCCACATTTTTGTTTGTAAGCTAGTTATTCCAGAATCCCGCTGTGATGGATTCTCTGTAATAGGCTCATAGTCATGCAACACCAATTTTGTCTCTCGTTTTGTTTTGGGGGTAAGAAATGTCCTACTCTGGAGAATCTCATTTTCTCTGCTGTCCTCTTCTCCAGTATCACAATTGGAAGTTTTCAAAGCTTTTGCTCTAATCCTTCTTTGCGAAGAATGGGTAATCTACTCTCGCGGAATTAACTGCCTCTGAAAACCTGCTGGAGGGTCATCTATGTGTTGGTAACAAGAACAGGAATAAGCCCATATATGTGAGGTGAAGTTTTATCATCTTTGCCTCCAGGGAGCCCTCTGGCTGCACCTTCTTCAAGACATATCAGTTCTTTTGGCGGTCCATGTGATGTTCAGCACTCTTCTCCAGCACCTCTGCTCCAAGATAGCTCTGTTTTGTCAGTTATGGATTAGTCATTATCTGATGAACTGAGATGCCGTGTAATCATTTCCCTGGGAAAATATCAGAGAGGGTATTCACCCCCCAGGATGCGATCTGTAGGAAAAGCCAATGAGAGGAGAGGAGGGGCCGGAGAGGTGTGGCCTGCTCCAAATAAGTACCAACATTTCGACAACATTGTATCTGTGTGGGTCTCTTCTGATGTTCAGCTCTGAGAATCAGAGCCAGCTTCTGGTCGCCGGCTGTCTACTGCTCTTTGGCCGCTGCTCTTCACCGTCCTCGGCCGCATCAGCCTTCCAGCCTACTTACTCTCTGCTTCTGACGTGGGGGATTTAGGGGAGACTCCAGCTGATGCCATATTGAAAGGTTTGGAACCTGATAGACTTCTCCAAAATTAGTTGGGAAGGGTTATGAGCAGGCCTTGAGCCTTATGTGGAGGGTGCTGAAGGGTAAGGAGGGCCGCAGCTCCTGGAGGGCGCAGTGATGACCTGAGATCTCCCAGTTGCTCTTCTTCTTGGCTGTCGAATTGGAAATGACCCATAGCTCACCCTCTAGTGGTTTTCAGAGGCGGTAAACTGTCCCTCCTTTGTTGCATATTTCCTCATGTAGCTGAGCCCCTGTGTGACATCCCCCAGGGAGTGGGTTACACCAAATCCCAGCTCATCAAGGGAATGACTAAATCATGACTGTCAAAGCAGAGACTCTTGGGCTGTGATGTGGGGGGAAGAATACGGACGATTCCACGGATTCGAACCTCGGGACTTTGCGATTGTATCCTAGAGTCTAACCACTAAGCCATCAGAACTCCCCTTTACATCTCCCTACCAACCACAAATCTGTTTTCATTCATGAGCGTGACAGCTGTACATTCTGCTTTGAGAAGCCCCTGGGCCTAGTCGGTAGGGAGTTGTACTGCCAACCCAAAGGCAGCAGGTTGGAATCTAGCCTCTGCTCCGAGGAAGAAGGATGACAGTATCTTTGAATACAATTTACCTCTGCTGAAAAGTCCCTGGAGGCTCCACTCGGGGCTGCTTGGACTTGGTGGCAGTAGGTCCTTTTTCTTACTTGGAGGAAGCAGCTGTTCCCTAGTTCTACATGACGGGCTCAACCAGAGCCCCCCAC